TGCATCGGTTTTCGGCCACCCGACGCGTTAAACTGGATCGATCGGTGTCCAGAATGGGCGTGGATCCTCCACGACAGTGATTTACTATTTATCTAAAAGAGCAAAGATCGTGGACGAAGCATACAACTTTCTTTTATAGGGAGTTTCGTATCTCATCAACTGGGTTATTCACCATAAACTGAAGGGACACTTTAAACTGTATTCAACCTCCATCAAATTAGTACCACAAGAATTTTAGTTTTATAAAACAAGTGTATTACTATAGGTATTTAGTCAAAGATTACAACTTTTTTTATTTTATAGGATGCTTCAAGTCCCATCAACTGGGTTACTAGCCATAAACTGAAGATCCACTGTATTGAACGTAGCTACTATCAAATTAGTTTTATTTTTATAGGATAAGTGGAGTGTATCACTATGAATGCACATTTAGTCAGAGATCTTTTAAAAGTTTAACTCATAATTCCCAAGTTCAATATGTCCTAGACTTACTTTTATATTTTCTTTCTCTTTTATAAAAAATTAAGTGATATTTTATAGGTTAAGTGCAGTATTACTATAAAGACACATTTAGTCAATGATCACAACTTTCTCTCCCTTCTTAGGAAGCTTCAAGTCTCATCAACTGGGTTACTAGCCATAAACTGAAGGACCACTTTAAACTGTATTCAACCTCCATCAAATTAGTACCACAAGAATTTTAGTTTTATAAAACGAGTGTATTACTATAAGTATTTAGTCAAAGATCACAACCTTCTGTCCTTCATAGGATGCTTCAAGTCCCATCAACTGGGTTACTAGCCATAAACTGAAGATCCACTGTATTGAACCTAGCTACTATCAAATTAGTTTTATTTTTATAGGATAAGTGGAGTGTATCACTATGAATGCACATTTAGTCAGAGATCTTTTAAAAGTTTAACTCATAATTCCCAAGTTCAATATGTCCTAGACTTACTTTTATATTTTCTTTCTCTTTTATAAAAAATTAAGTGATATTTTATAGGTTAAGTGCAGTATTACTATAAAGACACATTTAGTCAATGATCACAACTTTCTCTCCCTTCTTAGGAAGTTTCAAGTCTCATCAACTGGGTTACTAGCCATAAACTGAAGGACCACTTTAAACTGTATTCAACCTCCATCAAATTAGTACCACAAGAATTTTAGTTTTATAAAACGAGTGTATTACTATAAGTATTTAGTCAAAGATCACAACTTTCTGTCCTTCATAGGATGCTTCAAGTCCCATCAACTGGGTTACTAGCCATAAACTGAAGATCCACTCTATTGAACCTAGCTACTATTAAATTAGTTTTATTTTTATAGGATAAATGGAGTGTATCACTATGAATGCACATTTAGTCAGAGATCTTTTAAAAGTTTAACTCATAATTCCCAAGTTCAATATGTCCTAGACTTACTTTTATATTTTCTTTCTCTTTTATAAAAAATTAAGGGATATTTTATAGGTTAAGTGCAGTATTACTATAAAGACACATTTAGTCAAAGATCACAACTTTCTCTCCCTTTTTAGGAAGCTTCAAGTCTCATTAACTGGGTTACTTGCCATAAACTGAAGAGTTACTTTAAACTGTATTCAACCTCCATCAAATTAGTACCACAAGAATCTTAGTTTTATAAAACAAGTGTATTACTATGAGTATTTAGTCAGAGATCACAACTTTCTTTGCTTTATAGGATGCTTCAAGTCCCATCAACTGGGTTACTAGCCATAAACTGAAGATCCACTGTATTGAACCTAGCTACTATTAAATTAGTTTTATTTTTATAGGATAAATGGAGTGTATCACTATGAATGCACATTTAGTCAGAGATCTTTTAAAAGTTTAACTCATAATTCCCAAGTTCAATATGTCCTAGACTTACTTTTATATTTTCTTTCTCTTTTATAAAAATTTAAGGGATATTTTATAGGTTAAGTGCAGTATTACTATAAAGACACATTTAGTCAATGATCACAACTTTCTCTCCCTTCTTAGGAAGCTTCAAGTCTCATCAACTGGGTTACTAGCCATAAACTGAAGGACCACTTTAAACTGTATTCAACCTCCATCAAATTAGTACCACAAGAATTTTAGTTTTATAAAACGAGTGTATTACTATAAGTATTTAGTCAAAGATCACAACTTTCTGTCCTTCATAGGATGCTTCAAGTCCCATCAACTGGGTTACTAGCCATAAACTGAAGATCCACTCTATTGAACCTAGCTACTATTAAATTAGTTTTATTTTTATAGGATAAATGGAGTGTATCACTATGAATGCACATTTAGTCAGAGATCTTTTAAAAGTTTAACTCATAATTCCCAAGTTCAATATGTCCTAGACTTACTTTTATATTTTCTTTCTCTTTTATAAAAAATTAAGGGATATTTTATAGGTTAAGTGCAGTATTACTATAAAGACACATTTAGTCAAAGATCACAACTTTCTCTCCCTTTTTAGGAAGCTTCAAGTCTCATTAACTGGGTTACTTGCCATAAACTGAAGAGTTACTTTAAACTGTATTCAACCTCCATCAAATTAGTACCACAAGAATCTTAGTTTTATAAAACAAGTGTATTACTATGAGTATTTAGTCAGAGATCACAACTTTCTTTGCTTTATAGGATGCTTCAAGTCCCATCAACTGGGTTACTAGCCATAAACTGAAGATCCACTGTATTGAACCTAGCTACTATTAAATTAGTTTTATTTTTATAGGATAAATGGAGTGTATCACTATGAATGCACATTTAGTCAGAGATCTTTTAAAAGTTTAACTCATAATTCCCAAGTTCAATATGTCCTAGACTTACTTTTATATTTTCTTTCTCTTTTATAAAAATTTAAGGGATATTTTATAGGTTAAGTGCAGTATTACTATAAAGACACATTTAGTCAATGATCACAACTTTCTCTCCCTTCTTAGGAAGCTTCAAGTCTCATCAACTGGGTTACTAGCCATAAACTGAAGGACCACTTTAAACTGTATTCAACCTCCATCAAATTAGTACCACAAGAATCTTAGTTTTATAAAACAAGTGTATTACTATAAGTATTTAGTCAAAGATCACAACTTTCTGTCCTTCATAGGATGCTTCAAGTCCCATCAACTGGGTTACTAGCCATAAACTGAAGATCCACTCTATTGAACCTAGCTACTATTAAATTAGTTTTATTTTTATAGGATAAATGGAGTGTATCACTATGAATGCACATTTAGTCAGAGATCTTTTAAAAGTTTAACTCATAATTCCCAAGTTCAATATGTCCTAGACTTACTTTTATATTTTCTTTCTCTTTTATAAAAAATGAAGTGATATTTTATAGGTTAAGTGCAGTATTACTATAAAGACACATTTAGTCAAAGATCACAACTTTCTCTCCCTTTTTAGGAAGCTTCAAGTCTCATCAACTGGGTTACTTGCCATAAACTGAAGAGCCACTTTAAACTGTATACAACCTTCATCAAATTAGTACCACAAGAATTTTAGTTTTATAAAACAAATGTATTGCTATAAGTATTTAGTCAAAGATCACAACTTTCTTTGCTTTATAGGATACTTCAAGTCCCATCAACTGGGTTACTAGCCATAAACTGAAGAACCACTGTATTGAACCTAGCTACTATCAAATTAGTTTTATTTTTATAGGATAAGTGGAGTGTATCACTATGAGTGCACATTTAGTCAGAGATCTTTTAAAAGTTAACTCATAATTCCCAAGTTCAATATGTCCTAGACTTACTTTTATATTTTCTTTCTCTTTTATAAAAAATTAAGGGATATTTTATGGGTTAAGTGCAGTATTACTATAAAGACACATTTAGTCAAAGATCACAACTTTCTCTCCCTTTTTAGGAAGCTTCAAGTCTCATTAACTGGGTTACTTGCCATAAACTGAAGAGCCACTTTAAACTGTATACAACCTTCATCAAATTAGTACCACAAGAATTTTAGTTTTATAAAACAAGTGTATTGCTATAAGTATTTAGTCAAAGATCACGACTTTCTTTACTTTATAGGATGCTTCAAGTCCCATCAACTGGGTTACTAGCCATAAACTGAAGATCCACTCTATTGAACCTAGCTACTATTAACTTAGTTTTATTTTTATAGGATAAGTGGAGTGTATCACTATGAATGCACATTTAGTCAGAGATCTTTTAAAAGTTTAACTCATAATTCCCAAGTTCAATATGTCCTAGACTTACTTTTATATTTTCTTTCTCTTTTATAAAAAATGAAGTGATATTTTATAGGTTAAGTGCAGTATTACTATAAAGACACATTTAGTCAAAGATCATTTAAAATATTGATTTCAAATTACTTTCTAAGTTCAATTTGTCCTATGTTCCCACTTTAATATTTCTTATTTCTTCCATAAAAATGTCAACTTTCAATGAAAATTTACAGAGTGTTCGACCACCCCTGGGAAAAATTTTAATGGGTGATTCTAGTGGCCAAAATAAGACGAAAATCAAGAATACCAATTCCTCGATTGAGGCTTCGTTAAAAAGTTATTAACAGTTGCGCCTTTAGATACGCAACTTGCGTAACTCTTACAGGCATAACTGTTAATAACTTTTTAACGAAGCCTCCATCAACAAATTGCTATTCTTGATTTTCGTCTTATTTTGGTCTCTAGAATCCCCTAATACAATTTTCCCCAGGGTTGACCGACCACCCTGTATAGAAGATAAACTGAAAATAGGGGAAACCCAGATCCGATGGTATAATTCTAACCTAAAATTCGTAAGTTCAAATCCTCGACTTTTATGTTTCCTTTTTCTTCCATACAAAATGTAAAGTTTTGGCGAAAGTATGCAACGTAAAAATATGGAACCATAGTTGGTGTATTTTGTGTCGTGGCGAAAGGTTAAACGCAGACCCGGCTGATAAGCGATCCGTGACGATCGGGGGTCGCGACGCGGGAAAAGATCGAAGGACAGGAGGAAGTAAAAAGGAAAAAAAATAGAGGGCGAACGAACTTACTGGGCCTGTCGTTGTCGACATTATTCTCCTTGTCGGTGGTGTACGACTGACGTTGGGAATGATGGTGCTTGTGGTGACGACGATGTCTCCTTTCGCCGGGCAGATGCACGCCCACGTACACGGTGTGCGCCCTGTGACCTGGAAGCAGATGAAAGGGGCCTCGCGTCAGTGACTCTCGAATCGACGTTCCATTAGTTCCTACGATTATCGATAATAAAAATCGACTCGCGATCCTCTCTATGTCGCTCGAGCATCGTCGTCCGCGGCAGCGGTTCTTAACCTTTTATCCAACCCTTCGAATAACTGCTCTCCGAAACTTAAAACACCTCACATTTGAGTCACATGGTATAAACAAGGAAAAAGTAACATCGTCTCAATTATAATATCGAGACAATGACACGTTCGTGGTGCTGCTATCGGATTGAAATGGTCGACGCCATTTTGTTGGAGTAAAATGTCAGCGGACACGCGACGTAGGTGTCGATGAAATGACGTCGACGAAGAGATCTGTCGTTCAATTATATCATAGTCTTTGAATTCTAGTGTCGAGCAAGTAGGATAAAAGCATTACTATTATCTCGAGGCAGGGTTCTAGTTTCCTTGGATTACAAATGTTCCTCGCTTTAGTAATCGCATGTTCTGGAGGAATACTAATCAATGAATAAAGTAATCTGATTGCGTTTGCCACGATACGATTACATGCAATCACACGATAATTAAATGTCACGTAAAGATTTACGATTGCGATTACGCGACAGTTAAACGATAATTATCTATAATCGTATCGTGGCAAATGTAATCAGATCACATTTGGCTGTGTTGATAAATGTTCAGAAAATGTATGCACATGGTTTCATTTATTGTCTATTCAAAATTCAAACTTTTCCCTGTCAAAGACTGCCATTTTCTATACTGACACAATTTCTGATCTCAATTTCTCTGTTACGTTTCTTTATATCTATTCACGTATTTCAAATCGCGCGCCAGAATCGTCGTGTAGACCCATCGGGAAAGCTCGGGTATAATCGGGTGTTTTCGTTAAAGGAGACGAAGAAGGATACACGTGGGTGAAAATATAGGAGTAGGAGTTATTAACCTCTCTGCAGCGTCCTGTTTTAGATTACTATGAACAAATATTTATGAATTACGAAGATTTAAATGTTTGCATCAATCTTTTTATCAGAAGCTAACCTATACTTCTCAATCATCTTAAAAATTCTGATACTATAGGTGGTTTGAGTATTAGGAAATGATGTTAAACGGGCGTTTTCGAGGGTGCTTTGCTTTACAGTCCAAGAAATCAGAAACCAGAACCCTGCCTCGAATGTAATCGATCGATTCGTATCGTCGACGGTTCAAGATCGCACACCGGGACAGGTGACCTCGGATCCAGACGAGGATCGCGAACGTTGCTGAACGGGCTAACGATTTTCGAAGCACCGTCGCGGCGCGTCGAGCTCTGTGTGCAAACAGGGGAAGCCCGATCCGTGTATCCGGCTGACCTACGCGCGAACGGGCATTACCAGCGATTAAATCGCTAAGAAGAAGCTGTAAGGAGGTTTCGGTCGTGGGCGGTAACTTCCGTCTAAACGGATCAAAGATCAGCGAGAAGCACGCGTGGCTGCGTTCAAACTCGGGCAAATTTCTGCCTAGGAACGACGAACACCAATTCCAGATCCTAACCCAACTTCCTGTCGTCCATTAGCTAATTATCAATCTGAATCTTTCGTCAATCATAGTAATAATGGAGCTTGGTTAATATTAAAAGTGATTCTAACAATATTATGGAACGAGCTTTCAAAAATAAATCCATGATAATAAAAAAAATTCAGACTCCGGGTCAAAATTGACCCAGATTTAACATTGTTACTAATTGATAACTCAAGAAATAAATAATCAAGAAATATTCAAGATTTAAAAAATCAATACAAAATGGCTCCAATGACTCGAATAGTACTCCAGCCGCCATCTTGAAATTTTTGTCCGGTTCTGAGATTGTAATTGGTCGTTCAGAAAGTGAGTTAGCTAGTTTTTTTTTGGGGCCAATCGACGCAAGCGGATGAAATATCGATACCTTCGTAGTCTTTCTCGGTGTAAGACTGATGAGTGATCCGAGCACCGGGATCTTTCGGAGCCTCGTCGTCACCTGTCCCACCTGCGTGGGCCGCGCCACCTCCACGTCCAATACCCGGCTGCATCCACGGTCTAAAAAATAAATCGAACGAACACGTGAAACAAACACAATGATCTTTTTCGGCGGACGCGTGGCTTCGAGCGCGATTCTTCCCGACGAAGTGACCCGGCGAGAACGGCTTCCCCCGACGTTTTCTCGTCTTTCAGCGAGGAATACGCGCGTGGGATCGCGGAATAATTCGCGACCTTCCTTGATAGCTCGGCTACGAGCACGCGATTTTATAATAATTAAACTTCCGCGACGGGAAGCGCTTTGTTTGCGCCGTTTGTCGACCCTACTGGCCGCCATTTTGTTACTTTTCACTCTGTCGAAAGTTTTTTAGCTTCTAGAATAATGCAACGTGTTATAACGTGGATAAAAAGTGATCAAAAGAATGCAAATTTTATAGAAACACTATGTTTGGTTACTTCAGAAATTATGGTCGCCATTTTGTTGCTTTTTACTGTGTCGAAAGTTTTCTAGATTCCAGAATAATGTAACGTGATATAGCTTGGATAAAAAGAAACCAAAAGCATCGTATGAACGCAAATTTTATATAGAAAGACTATGTTTGGTTACTTCAGAAATACTGGACGCCATTTTGTTGCTTTTCACTGTGTCAAAAGTTTTTTAGCTTCTCGAGTAATGTGACGTGCTATAGCTTGGATAAAAAGAAACCAAAAGCATCGTATGAACGCAAATTTTATAGAAAGACTATGTTTGGTTACTTCAGATCCATTAACTGCGTTAATTCTGGCCGCCATTTTGTTGCTTTTTACGGTGTCGAAAGTTTTCTAGCTTCTAGAATAATGTAATGTGTTATAGCTTGGATAAAATGAAACCAAAAGCATCGTATGAACGCAAATTTTATAGAAAGACTATGTTTGGTCACTTCAGATCCATTAACTGCGTTAATTCTGTTCGCCATTTTGTTGCTTTTTATTGTGTCGAGAGTTTTTTAGCTTCTAGACTAATGCAACGTGTTATAGCTTGGATAAAAAGAAATCAAAAGCATCGTATGAACGCAAATTTTATAGAAAGACTATGTTTGGTTACTTTAGATCCATTAACTGCGTTAATTCTGGCCGCCATTTTGTTGCTTTTTACTGTGTCGAAAGTTTTCTAGCTTCTCGAGTAACGCAACGAGTTATAACATGGAAAAAAGAAACCAAAAGCACTGTATGAGCACAAGTAATTTTGTAAACAGAGTTTGGAACTATTGTTTACTTGAAATCTAGATACAAAGAACATTGTACCGTATTGTTTAGAAGTTCAGGAAGCGAGTGAACTTTCCCAGGGGATCCCCTTAACTGCGTTAATTATGTTCATAATATTGTACGCCAGGAGCATAAATTATGGTCGCGTTTGCAACGCGAGCCTCGTTGCTAAAACGAAAAATCGATGGCAACCATATTTGCATCGAGAAATGGAGTATCCCGATGAATAGTTTGTAAGCGTTTAATTACCTATCGAACGTGAAACAATCCCTAAGCAGCGCAGGTAGAATAGTAAGTGTCGTTGTTCGATTCCTAGATAGCCCTTGACATATTTAGATTGCTGATACAAATGAATTCTAAAGAGGGCTGCGGATTGTTTCACTATAACGGAATAATCGCCATAACTGGGTCAGGCTCAGGGAAAAACGAAAAGGGAAGTCGTAGAGGAACACTTTCTGTACAATTTTGTACCACAAAAGCATCAATTCACTTTCCAAATGCAATTATACCGTTCTATTAATGGCTCCTTTTGATCATATTTTTAGGTTAACTGAATGCTTAATTAGTTTTTAATATTATAGAAAGCCTCCATTATATCTCAAATATTTATATACACATCGTCGATACCCAAATTTAAAGGAATTTTAGTTCTAACTATTTCTTTAGAATCGTTTATTAGAAACAAAATGGCGGTAATAGAATTTATTTTATAGATTCCACCAGAGATAGTATTAAATATAACAGAATTAATTTGGTGAAAATTCGTATCATGGAATAAAATTTCTAGTGACTTTTTTTACAGGCTGATCTAGTTACTAGAATCGTACTCTTCGAAACGTTAGATGTCGTGACGCTCAATTGGTCGAGATTTTTAATCCACGTTGAACTTAGCCTAAGTGGAAGATAAAAGCTAATCTCGGCGTGCTTTGAATTGAATAGTTTATAATTAAATCCTTCTAAATCCATCCAATCGACTATTCTTCCCACGCAATTCACGTTCCTATTTCACTTGATTCGACTCTCAGTTAACCCCCAATTATAGATGATTAAAAAATACTAAAAAATTCTTTTTTAATGATAGTAGCCACTTAGATGATTAAAAAATGCTAAAAAATTCTTTTTTAATGATAGTAGCCACTTAGATGATTAAAAAATACTAAAAAATTCTTTTTTAATAATAGCAGCCATTTTAAAATAAAAGCATACCGCAAAAGTAACTAGCGCACACAACTAAATTAAAAATAAATAAATATCCCCCCAAAATAGGAAAATTGTCGAATTAATGAAACAAATGACTCACGAAAAATCGTCTCCCGACCACTCGTAAGTCTGCATATTTTACACGGTGCTTCGAGACCCTCAACGCGAGTCGATATAGGAACAATCGCGCGTCAAATTGGGGATTCCTCTCGTCGATCCAAAGCTCACGGAGCTTCAGCTTTTTCTGGATTGTATTCCGAGCTGACGGGTCATTTTCGCGGCACAATGAGCGTAGGTGACAACGCGCGACATCCGGGCCCACAATGAAACGCCTGTTGTCCGTCCCGACGCTACTAACGAGCGAACGATTAGCAGAAGGAATCGAACGCCGAGGCTCGAGCGCGATTTTCGAGAGGATCGTTCGATCCCCGACGCGCGGGAATTACTGTCGCCGCGTTACGGGTAATCCCCGTTGACGTCTCGTAATCGTAGACGCGATTATTACGCGAAAACGAGCTCGTTCGGTGTACGGCGCAGTTGCATCCGTCGTAATAAAGCTTCGTAAAATTATTCATGGCCAATGACATGTTCTGAAGAATTTCATTGTATATCATTTGAAGATATTGCTATAGTCAATTCATAATATCCACTTAAAAATTGAGTTTTCTCTATTATTAAATAGCTTTTTTGGATCATATAAGACTATTTCTGAAGAATTTCATTGTATATCATTTCAAGATATTGCTATAGTCAATTTATAATATCCACTTAAAAATTGAGTTTTCTCTATTATTAAATAGCTTTTTTGGATCATATAAGACTATTTCTGAAGAATTTCATTGTATATCATTTCAAGATATTGCTATAGTCAATTTATAATATCCACTTAAAAATTGAGTTTTCTCTATTATTAAATAGCTTTTTTGGAAATAAAGAAGCTTGCAAAATTAGAAAAAAATAAATAAAATGTTAATTTTTAAAACACTGCAGTTCTATCAAATAAATTTTAATTTAGCTTTTCATTTATTTATTTTCAATTTCCAGTATTGTATATAAGTATTGATAATAGGTATTTAGGAACACTTTTTTAACTTTTTATAAATAATAATTGTTCAAAATTTACGTGGTCCATTGCTCCTACTGTAAATAAAAAAATAAATTCTATATAAAATTGAAGGATGAATAATTAATTTTACAATTATTTAATAATTTTTTTTTAGCAAATATGGTATTCAATAATGTAATTTATGGGTCTTAGACTCGATCCAAGTCTACAGTTGTGAAAAACGAAGATACGAGACAGAAGTTGGCAACAAGCATGACATATGATATATCATGCTGATGTATAGGTGGATGGAAGAAAATCTAGACTTATGGTTGACAAATAGGGTACGATTTCGTAGAAACTGGGACAGGATGCAGTTTACTTCCAAGTTTAAACAAAAAATGAGATAAAATTGAATCCTCCAAGGGGGATTTATTTCTTTCTTTAAATGGAGCAATTTTTGAAAAGTGAATTGATTCAAATGTTACTTACTGGAGGGAATAAGAAGCTTAGATTGTGTCTAACAATCATTAATTTTCTGTTTTGCATAATTGTTGGACACGCGTTATTTAAAAATTACTTTATCGCCTATTTCGTTACACAGTTGCAAATTTTCGATCGTTATCCCGGGAAATCCATTACCGGAAGCGAGTCCGCCTCCTCTCCAGTTTGGATAATCGACGTTCTACTATAATGAGAAAATTCATTCGACGCGGAAGGCGCGAGGTAAAACGAGGAAAAAGATGATAATCGCTTCAAATCGTAGTTTGAGGTTAGATATTAGTTTGCAAAGGTGTTAACGAACATTAAATGAAATATTTAAGATCGATTAAACTGCACAAATTGAATAGAATGCACATCTAAAGGAAAATAATAAAGTTGCAATAAAAGAAATTTGAAAAATCTTGGACAAATTTTTCGGCGAAAAAACAAAATTTCAAATCATTCTACAAAAATTATTTTTAGTTACAGGGGTCAATTACAATCATTTTTGGTGAATAGACATATCCCCGAAATCCTACTCAGTTTCGAGAAAAAAATTCGAGTAGGTGCCTAAATTTTTGGGCGAAATTAGAAAATTTCAAATCGTTCTGAAAAAATTATTTTCAGTCGCAGGGGTAAATTGCAATCATTTCTTGTGAATACTCATATCCCCGAAATCCTACCCAGTTTCGAGAAAAAAATTCGAGTATGTTTCAAATTTTGTTGCATTAATTTTACTATTAATATCCAAAAATCTGTTGCATTAAAATCATAGATATCATTCTACAATTTTTAAAAAATATAACGTATGAATAAAAATTTAAAAAGCTTTAATTACAGATGAAATATTAATAAAAATCAATGAAAAGTAGCTTATTTAGACACTGTTGTATGTTTCTTCTATAATTCTGTTCCATTAATTTTATTATTGACATTCAAAAATCTGTTGCATCAAAATCACAGATATCAGCCAACAAATTTAAAAAAATATGGTAGAAATTCATGAATAGAATTTGCATCCGAGTTCCACCACGAAGACGCCCTCGTTGCGTGCATGGAATCGGAGCAATGTCGCAAGATAGTTCGAGGAAACCCTCGTGAATCGAGGCCGATCCGTCAGAATGTCAAGATCGCGACGAACCTCGAACGGTCGACGATTACCAGCCGTCAAGTGGATAATTACCGCGCTATGATTATCTGCGTACCGTCTATGAGTGTACGTGGTTTTACATAATGAACGGGCCTAGCTTGTCCACAAAGCCAGAGCGGTGTAACAAACGAGGGGAGGACACGATAATTGTTTAATTGTCGCTGGAGGTCGCCTGGGTGTCCGTCGATACGAAAGAAGCGGAACAGCGACTCCGATTTCTCGCGAACGATCGGTCCGGCGGTGTCCATCTTCCTCCGCCACGCATGCAAACAAACCATTTCTATTTAGCAATAGTACTTCGACCTCTAACAGTGTCTATATAAAATTTTATAGCAGATTAACAATAATTTTCTAATTATTTAATTTTAGAATTTTGGGAGACCTCGTTCAATAATTTATTTACCCTTTAATCGATCAAGAACGATCAGTTTTATTTATTGGATTAGTTTCTAGACTGCAATGTGAATGTGAAAAAATGTAAATTTTTATTAATTAGAATATTGCATTTTCTAACGTGGAACTCGAAGAAAAATAATTATTTTCATCCCTTAATCGAAATTAGACTAAACGAATTCAGTATAGTTTTTAAGAATTTAGTTTAAAAAATGAATGTTCTCGGAAAATTCAATGATTGTTTTATAGTTTTTTAATCCGCGAACGTAATGAAAAAGTTTGAAGCTCATTTGCGCTTTCCCGGGGCGAAGCAATTTTCCCGCGCGAGCGAAATTCGTGATTAGGTTAGGCCGCGGCGGCCGGACGTACAGAGTGGCCAATGAGAGCCATTAACGAGCGACAACAACGTCGAATGAAAAAGTCCTTGTGATACAGACATTTTTTTTGTGGTTAGAGTATCGTACGCTCGCTGACACCGGCTCGTATAATTGAAACGTAAAAGTATAATGATCGAAATAACCGGTCGTTTAAGACGCCGATCAAGGGGGCCGGAGACCGTGTAATTTACCACGCCACGAAGATCACGCAAACGATGCAGCTGAAATTTCTTCGTCGAGCATGAGATTCGATCCTTCCGCTCGTCCCGGTTAGGCTAGACTCGGTTAGGGTCACGCCAATTTACATTTTATCGCCATTGTTAGACTGTTGAGATTCGAAAATATTTTTGAGGTTATTCCAGTCATTGCAATAACAATTATTACACTATTACTAGATGGAATAAATTTATTTTAACCCTCAAATGGCGGCCATCTTGATCAGAATCTGAATTTATTTTATTTCACAAGCTTTGTTAATGAATTTTTGCAATTTTATCGCCATTATTAGTCTGTTGAGATTCGAAAATATTTTTGAGGTTATCCCAGTCATTGAAATAGCAATTATTACACTATGATGTTTATAATTTAATGAGAAACAATAAATTTTTAGTGGAATAAGCGATGAAATTTTATTTTAACCCTCGAATGGCGGCCATTTTGATCAGAATCTGAATTTTATTTTAGTTTACAAGCTTTCTCACTGAATTTTTTCAATTTTATCGCCATTGTTTGTCTGTTGAGATTCAAAAATATTTTTGAGGTTATCCAGTCATTGAAATAGCAATTATTACACTATGAGTGGTACAGATGTTTATAATTTAATGAGAAACAATCATTTTTAGTGGAATAAGTAATGGAATAAATTTATTTTAATCCTCGAATGGCGGCCATCTTGACCAAAATCTAAATTTTACTTTATTTAACAATACAAGACTTCTCACTGAATTTTTGCAATATTTTATTTGTAATAATAATCAAATTTAATAAATAAATTTAAGTTACATTTTTATTTCACCAAAATTATAATTATTTTTTTATTTATTAATAATTTTTAAAAATTAAAATTAATAATATTAAATTTGTTTAAAAATAATATTATTTATCCAAATGGACCTGAAGTATTCCAGACGAAAATTAACAAACATTAAAAACAAAAATTTATTTCGTACGTAGAATAATTTTATAGAATTATATAACTATAGAAAAAAATTCACCAGTTATCTAAATGTTAAAAAGCGTAATTTTAATATATTTTGCAGTGAAAAGAGGTAAGTATTGGGTCAAACTGTTGTGGTCAGCCTGCATAATTCCCTCAATCGGGGCTTCTTTTTTCTCCGCCGTTTGATGTCGCCGTTAGCGTCTGCAATAAACGAAGATTCAAGGGCCAGACTGATAACAGAATCGCGCGTAATCGTCTGTGATGGGTTACTTAGCGCGTCGACATAATTCACCAACGGCATTCTCGAGGAAATGCGACGACAGACAATGTAGCATTGAAATTATTCACGCGTTGGCGAGTCACGAACGGAATTTCGCAATTCGACACATTACGCAAATCGTTTACAAGAATATTATAATAGCTAAACTCAACTGCGATTTCAACTTCCATCAAATCACTGATAATACCTTCGTTTGAAATAAAAATAGATTCCATTGTGGGACGAACAAATCAAATAATTTTTATTTCAATTTTATTAGATATAATATTTATTATGTTAGAAAGAAACTTATGTTGTTTTTTGTATTTGTAGTTGACAATTTTATTAGAAAGAAATTTTTGTTAATTTTTGGTATTTGTAGTTGACTTTAGTAGTTGTGTTGACAAGTGTATTAGAAAGAATCTTTTGTTGATTTTTGTATTTGTAGTTGAGTTTAGTAGTTGTGTTGACAATTGTATTAGAAAGAATCTTTTGTTGTTTTTTGTATTTGTAGTTGACAATTGTATTAGAAAGAAACATTTATCAACTTTTGGTATTTGTAGTTGACTTTAGTAGTTGTGTTGACAATTGTATTA